GCAATGACAAACGCTGAGCGATTGTAATAATATGCAGCGTAATTGGTCCCACATGTACTGCAATTAACATCAACACCATTATGCCATACTTTTTTTCTTTCTTATTTTGGAACTACCTGTACTTAGGAAGAAAGGTTTTAAAATAACAAGCGTATACACTAAGAACACTGGGAAAGTAGAAAACATGGATGCTATGTTACCAAGCATCATGTATTTTACTTTACATGGATATCTTTATCCTCTACAGTGTGCTACAGGAATGCACATTAGGGCATGAGATTAGGTCCTGGTGGATTCATGGAACTTTAATATACATTTAAGTGCTCCCTTAAACTGGATTGAGGCTTTTCCAACCCAGCAATCATGTTCTAATACAAACCTCAACAGGCATGTTCATTTAACATTACCATTTGTATCCACACTCATTGAAGTGGGTAGATAAAGACTAAGATAATTCAGGGTCAGAGAGGACCATTAGATTATCTAGCCTAGTTTAGCAAGGAGTAATCCACTTACTAAGGGTAATGGTCTTTTGAGACCAGTAATTTGAGTTTGGCACAAAACTAAACTGGGTTTGACTGGAACATCTTTTCTAAAAAGGCACGGTGGCCTGATCTGAATGTGTAGAGACAGAGGGCCTCTCACTTTCCTTGGTGATGAATCCCTGGAACTATCTGTTCAATATTTCCTTCCAAGAGTCAAAACTTTCTTTCACCTATGGGTTTCTGGGGCATCACACCTTCTGGGGATAGACAGCCTTCAGTACTTGGCATTCTGATGGAGAGACTTATGTATTAAGTCACTTCTCAGTCTTCTGTTTGTTTGTTTTTGATGAATGAAGCAGTCCAAGCTGTTTAAGCATCTGCCATTTTCTCCAGCCTTTAATCAGCATTTTTAGTGCACAACTTAACATCCAAAACATCGAATGACTACTCCCACTCATGTGGCTTACTGTGTTATAGACCACTCTTCCCACCCCACATATGGATGCTTGTTCAAAAGTACTTCTGAATAGCCATACTACCTAAGGCTTAGATTTTACTTTTCTGAAAGGAAAACTCTGCAAACATTGCTAGTGCATGTTTGGCAAGCAGTTTTGTCTTCCTTTTCCTCTGCTGAGATGCTTGGGACTCTTTGTCTGAATTGCTCTACACTTTACAAGACAAAAATATGGTTTCTGGAAAAAGTCTCCTCTTCCTCTGCTGGTTTCACTCAAAACAGAATTAAACAAGAGTTAAATGGGAGCTTTCAAACACCAGCATTTCCTGGGGGCATGCTCTTTACCATCAATCCATCATTTCTTTACAGCTCATTTTTAGATACATTTGTTAGAAGTTATTCTCTGGCTACACCCTTCTTTATGTCATAAATCAGTCGCTTCTGGCCTGTCTGGACACTGCTCAGTACTCCCAGTGCCATTCCTGCCAGCCCTCACAAAGTACATCAGGCTGAGTCATACCTCAGCTAAAGGTCTGTAATTGCCTGATTTCATGTTATTTCTTTTCCATTAGAGAGCCAGCCTAGGGGTGACCACTTACATTTTTGAGGTAATGCATATTTAAATAATGCCTTATTGCTGTTATCTTTTCTTCCTCATCTACTTTTTTTTTTCCTGTTTTATTCATTACATGTGATTCTAAAATACATTTATTCAGCGATGGTCTTTTAGTGTTAGAAAATGGGAGACACATTGACTGGTAGTTGCTCATGTGAAGTTGTTTAAATAGTACTTTAAAAGACATTAAGCAGCATTTCACATCAAAACCCACTCAGACACATGTATTTGGAAAGATACTGACTAGACTTATATTTCCTGTATTAAAATACTTGTGTAAAAATGTGTTCTTTTAGGATTTATCAAACAAGCAAATGACCCTCTGGAGAGTTTCTGTTTCAGACATGAATACCTAAACAAAATCTTAGTGAATCATTTGAACTTGCTAGAATTTTCCATATGAAGACTATTATGAATGTATGAACATTATGGTGTGCACATATTTAATACATGCCTGAAATCTGTATAATTACAAACTTTAACTTACAACTAAAAATGCATACAAGAACACCAAGAAGATGTGGAGAGGATATCAGTTCCTTATTCACGTTTGGTTTTCTAAGTGCTGACAAAATGTTTAGCCCAACTTCGCTCCTCAGCTCAGCACCATACATTTAAGCTTTGTTATAATTTAATTATAATTTAAGCTTTTTTCCATTTCACATAATTGTTTTGCACATTCAGGGACAAGAAAACACTAGGGTGAGACTCAGGGGGCAGATCTTCGCAGATAATTTGACCCAGGACTTAGGTGTAGGTTGGAAGATGTCAAACTATTTTACGCAATTTAAAAGTCGTGTCTGATTCAGCCCTGAGATAGAGATGCAAAAAAGACAGGGAACTGAAGCAGACATGGGAAAATCAGGGTGGGAAGAAAGAGGACAATGTACAGATTTTGACTCAGACCAGGGATTCAGGTCCTGATCTTAAACCCAAGGGGGCTGACAGAAAGATTCCTATTGTTCTCAAAGGCTAATATTTCCTAATATTAGTTAAAAACGGTAGAGGCAATGAGACACTGAAATATCACAAGGGTGACAGCCACAGTGTCTGATACAGATTAGAAGGATTTTTGCTTAGCCCTGAATAAAGCTGTGAGACAGACATACAGATGATAAATGCATGTGTGTGTGTGTATGTATTCAGCAGGGGCTTTATGGAATTACTCTCTTGCTCTGAAGCTGAGGAGTTGCATGCTCCAGCCCCACAAGTGGCCAGCCCTGAGTAAGGGTGATGGACTAGGTGTACTTCTGGTCCCTAGGCTGTTGAAAAGCAGCTAAAAACCCATTTGGGCAAAGAGGAAAAAGCTGCCTGAACCCTCTATGAGTTTTAAAACCCCTGAAAAATGTTCTTGAGAAAGCAAAGAAGATGGATTTCTCTTTCTAACTCAGGAAAAGCCTGGCAAAAACTGGCCTGGGAAGAGCAGAAACTAAAGATTTATTTGCTCATATTGTCAAAGATTAGAAGCTAAAGCTTAGTCATTAGGACTGTCAGATCTGGGCACTTGTGGAAAAGATTAGTTAGGCACTAATGAAAGAGAGAAAGCTATGGCTGACTGGCTTGGCTAATGTGTGTAGGAAATTTTCAGTGTTAGTCCTGCTAACAGAAACCTCCTGTGAGTAAACTGAAATGTTCTGGAACAGGAGAAGAGCCCAGAAGAGAATAGAGCTGGGTCTGGTTACACTTCAGGTACACAGCACCCAGTAATGCTGACCTGTGATTATCAGCACAGGTGCCTGAGAAATCTTGGAGATTGCCAACCTCATAATAAAACTGAGAGAGGGAGAAAAAAAATCTCCTAGTGTATGTTTCCTGTGGTTTAAATTTTTATATTGTTAATTTTTTTCCCATAATCCAAGCATTTGAACACCAGTTGATTTTGGACATTTTAATGAAACATCTCTTTTAGAAGTGATTTATTTTAGGATGGTGAACCAGACAGCAAAGGAAACAGCTCGAGAGCAGCTGAAGGAACAAAATCAGGCACAGTTACAGCACTACCTCCATAGCAGGACTCCGTGTAGAAGGACTTTCTGAATTCAGGGTGTCCTACCCCAATTTGCATAGACCCCCCCCCCCCCCCGCCCCTGCTTTCAGCCCCTCTTAGTTCTCTGATAGAGCAAAAGATACTAAACCCTGTTGCCATGGTTAATGACATGCAGAGGCTAAGAGAGAAGAGGAGCTATATGTCCCACAGCTTGTCTAGCTTAGGGTTTTGGAGAGGATGGGCTTCAGTGGTAATGAAGAGACTTTCCCCTCAGGAGAGACCCATAGATTTGTTCCTTCTCATCTGTGTGGGCTCTTGCCAGTTCCTCCAACAGCAGCTTTGCAGCCATTGCAAATAGATTTAGTGGGGTGAAATCTTGCAGTAACCTGGATGGAGAGCTTATTGCCTTGTGTAAAATTAACCTGTGGGAGGATTTAGAAATGAGATGAGAGACTGCAAATCACACTTGAGTCTCACTTAAACTCTCTTGGGCTCAGGAATTTACATCGTGGTCCGAGCAGTTTTCTTGAAGTCATCGTTGCAAGTTCAGCTGTGCAGTAACAGAAGGGGTCGTGTTATGATTTTGTTCAATCAGTTTTTGCTCTCCACAGAAAGGTAGACATCTTTTATTACCTCATGTTAAAACTAGCCTTTAATGCACACAGATGAATAAAAAATTGAAGCTAATCCATACACGGAATCGTTGTTTCTTTTCTGTCAGTTTTTTGGGGCTGAGAGGTCCTCCCTTACAGTGTCAGAGCTGCAATAATCTCAGGGCACTTTGTGATAGCTAACAGCAGTAGAAACCACCCTTCCCCCATCAACAACAGTCTCTTAACGATGGGATTCACATAACAAGCTTGCTTGGGAAGTGCCTGTCCCATCACAACAGGCCTAAATACGTAGATTGTGCTGGGGGAGCTTCCCACATTTTTGTATGGATGCTCCTAATGCTTTTGCAGATCTCCAGTTCATATGAGTGTCCACCTCGAGTTAGCTGGGGAAATAGTGCCAAGAATTATGTATATTTTTCTAGTCAATAGTGAAAAATATTCCCTTATGGACCTTTGGATTTCTAGACCTCTGTGAAGGCAAGGCTGATTTGCCACTTCTGGAATGACTGTTAACCACAGGATTTCACTCAGACTGTAATGGAGAGGCATTGTTGGCCAAATATCAGATTAAGTGTCTCTGTGCAGAAGAGTGTCTTTAATAATTGTTAGTGCTAGCATGTGAAAAGCTTAGATGAAATATTCTGCGGTTCTGCATCAGACATGGGTGTTGCTAGATGTTCTCCATAAACTGATACCTGATTATAATAATGAGCACAGTGGTCTCTAGTGTGGCTTCTTTGCTCGGTTACTGAAATATGAGCAGATCTAAATTCATGTGGGTGTGTGTCTATCCATGTACTTCTGTGAGTGCAGGAATTAACTCCATTTCTGTATTTCGTGTCATAGGAAGGGCCAATTTCCTGCACTTAATGTCTATCAAGAGTTTCTTTGACTCTGCAGCACGAGAACTCCAGAATTATGCTTTGTAATTCAGGAACTTCAAGGTTTGTAAACTCTCAAATATTTAATTGTTGCCTTTGTTGTTCCATATTTGCTTTCCCTTATATATCTCACTGCTTTCTTTTAGTTAAAATGTATGCTATGATGGCCTGGGATAAAGCATGTAGATTGTATCTGTGTATGGGGTAAGCTAGTAGAAGCTACTTCAGAGTTTCTCTTTCAGTAAGGCGGCTTTGGGACATGAACATAAATCTTTGAAGTATGTGTTGAGCCAGCTGCTACATCATTTAAAAATAGTCAGGTTGGTGCCAACAAGACAGATCACTCAACTTGGGGGCCATAAACAGAAATCAAAGGCATGCATTAGCAATGCCCCAGTGTTTGTATGGTTCCATGACAAACCCTCTGCCCCTTCTAGCACATATGTGATGGTGTTACCGAATAGCCTGCTGTCACTTCTATAATGTATCGGTGTCACCTAGCTTGGGAAGGTGCCGTATGTTGGAGCCTGTATGAAGGTGGAAGACGTTCTCTAACTTTTAATGATAGATTGCACTCAGTTTTCTTGACTTCACAATAAAGGGCAGGTTTTAAGAGTTCTTGTTCTCATATCCCCAGCAGCAATGGTGACATGCCATTTGGGTATTAAATACTTGAAAAGGGTCAAAACCTATGTAGTGGTCAAAGGGAAAAGAAACAAGGTCAAAAGTTTAAGCTGTGATACATGGTAGCCCAGGAGAACTCACATTTTAAGCAGTCTAGACAGCATATTAGCAGAGAAAGCTTACTGTGTTGTACTCTGTTTATGGGAGCTTTCCATAAACTGCAAAAAAATACTAGGAATGCAGCATAACCAAAGCTTTGCCTTTTCCAGTTGAGAATAAACTGTTGTGCAGCTTATGTTCAAAGCGCATGGCATCTATGCACACTTAATTCAAGTGAAAGGGTCACAGGGCCTTAGGGGAAAAGGTGCAAAAAAAAAAAAAGTGCAAGCTTATTTAAGATGATTTTTCCCTCCTCCTCCTCCAAAAAAAGTAATTTATGTATCTGTCTGGAGACAGGTATAACATAGCCATTGGTGCAGATTTAGGAGGCGACTGCAGTATTTGGGCACCTGTGTTTTTTATGTTCACATGTATGTATTTTCTTGTTTGCAGAATGAAAAATATGCAGTCTTGATTTATTTTGCTCGGCTTGTTTCAAGCTTTTTTTTCCCCTCACTGGATAAAAAACAAAGTATGTGGCATTTTCAGTCTATAAATCTTGCTTGCTGTGGGCTAAGTTCTGCTCACAGCTCTTACTTAGAGTAAGTTAATGAGGCTACATGTACCTCAGGGCAGGATTTGGACCTCTGAGGCTACCTGAGCAAAGCTGCCTAAGTTGAAGGATGGTTAAAGCACTGGCTTGGGACTTGACAGACTTGGGTTCAGTTCAGTTTAGCTCAGCTCAGTCCTGTGAGGTGACCTGTGAGTTCTGGGGGGAAGTTGCTTACACCCTCTCAGGCTCCATGGCTATGCTTCACCATGGTCCTGGATTGCAACTCTTCCTTTCCTTCAGTTTTGTGTTAAAAAGTCACACCCTTATGTGCCCCTTGCCTCACTATAGAAGTGAAAAGGGTTGTTATTTTGGTCTGACATTAATGCCAGTTCTTTGGAGCAGAGACCACTTTTTTGTTCGGTGTCTTTCTACAATAAAGTAAAATTCTCTGAAGAGTTCTGTAAACAGCAGTGCCACCAACAAATCTAATTAGTGATATGCCGTACAGTTAGCATCTATTAGCTCGTATCAAGGAGTTCTTGCCAAAACTCTCTTGAGAAATACTGTGCTTACCCTCTAAGGCTACCTGCAGAGAGTTAACTAAAAAGAGGGCACTGAAATAGCTGCCCACATGGGTGCATATCTAAAATATGACTGTCAAGAGCTTTATGAAAAACACCTCAGCTATTCCAGTTCTGTCCTTCACCTGGACAGACTGACTATCTTAATTGTGAACATGTCCATAGTTCTCATTAATAAGAACCCCCTATCTGGATTCTGGCCTATAAACCACCACCTTCAGTAACATTTTTCAAGAAACATGGTCTTCTTTAGGAATAATTTCTGAACTTTAGATTGCAGTGGGATTTTCAAAACCCCTCTTTGGAAGTTGTGCTGGGCTAAGCCAAAGCAGTCTCGTAAAGGCTGCCATAAGTACTCGAAGTCATGCTGCCCACTTACGTGCAGGTGTTTACATGTATTGAGCATTTTGCTTAATCTTGTGTGTATGCAAATACCGTAAGGTTATCAGGTTCAGTTTGACTGTGGCTCAGTATGTATTTTTTAAAGGTGAGGCCACAAGAAGGAAGAACAGGGAGAAAAATGAAGTGGGATTGAGAAAAAGGAAGGCAGGAAGGTTGGGAAAAAGCAAATATATGGGGGCTATGTGAAAGAGCAAAACAAGGACACAGAAAATATTAATTGACAAATATTATCTATATGAAGTATATGACAGTCCAGACAGCTCTGGCCTTATGAAATATACCCGATCTTACACACAAATGTTATGGCACTGGGAAAGAGAAGACTTTAAGGAGACCTTAGAGCAGCCTCCCAATGCCTACAGGGGCTGACAAGAAATCTGGAAAGGGCTTTTTACAAGGTCATGTAGGGATAGGACCAGGGCAAACAGCTCTAAACTGAAAGAGGGGAGATCTAGACTCAATATTAGGAAGAAATTCTTCACTGTGAGGGTGGCAACACACTGTAATGGGTTGCCCAGAGAAGCTGCAGCTGCCTCATCCCTGGCAGTGCTCAAGGCCAGGTTGGATGGGGCTTTGGGCAACATGGTCTATTGGAAGGTGTTCCTGCCTGTGGGAGTAGGGTGAAACTAGGTGGTCTTTAAGGTCCAATCCAAACCGCTCTGTGATTCTATTCTACTGCAAAAGAGTTTCAAATCTGAATGATATGTTCTTATTGATTGTACACGTGTGTGGTCTTAAGCGTCACTGAATAAGGGCCAAGAGATAGCAGAGCAAGCAGCTGTTCTTTTCCAGAAGGATAATTAGGATTTTAATCCCAAATAGGATTATAGTTTGCAGTGGCCCTTGCAGCAAAGTCTGGATGCTGCAGGCCTGTTCACCGGGGTGGCAGGCTGAGTGTCTGCCATCTTAGAAAGAAAAGTAGACTTTTCTTTCCAAGAGAGTAAGGATGTTGGAACTTCTAACAAGGTAAACTGAGGAAATTCACGTGGAACAGAAATCTCACTGTGAAGATGAGATGAGGGAGGATTTTTAGCAATGCGCAATGATGAGTCATTGCAACTTCTATTAATATAACTGGCACGTATGTAAATAAATTCACATGTACTCCTCTGAAAAGTTAGCTCATGAGGTCAGTCAGCAATAATAAAGCAAGAAGAAATGCGGTTTCATAAAAGCAGTGAGCTATGGCACTATTTCATAGGCATTTTAGAAAGAAAAGGAATAACTTGATCGTTTGAAGTGGAACAAATGACTTTGTATCAGAAACTGTCTTTTAGCTCTGCAGGTATGTTCCATGAACTTTAGAAACCACACTCATTTGCATGTGGTTTAATAGAAACTTTTGCTGAAGTAATCTCTGCATTCTCTCCTTGCTTACGGACAGCACATGGCGTGTAGATATATGGCCAGATCTGGGAATGTAAATCAGCACAGCCCCCTGGAGATCAATGGAGCTTCATTATGCTATACCAGTTGAAGATCTGACCATGCATATAACAGGAGCTGGATGAAGTCCTTTCATGTTTCAGGTAGTGTTATACATTAGCACCATGATGTAGGGCTGCCTTTCTCCCCCACACCCCCCTCATAAAAGTCTGAAACCTGTTGCCTGTTATGCCTTTAGCCACCCCTTCATAGTTCAGACACCCTTGAGTCCAACATTGTACAAGAAGAAACTTGCATTTTCTGAACAAAAGCTGCTGCTGCTCTTAGGGTGGGACTTTCCAGACTTATGGGTTATCCTAATAAAACTCAGGAATGTTTTAAAGGCAGTAGCATTAGAGACCACCAACTATTTTATTGTTGAAGCCTAAAAGAAAAATCTATTATACCTGAGATTGACCCTGTAGCTGTTTCTTTTAGCAGGCTCCTTAGAAAAGTCGAAGAGCTTGAATTTTTACAAGGGCATTAATGCATTATTTTAGATTGCATGAGTCTGGATATTTGCACACACTACATAATGAGCGCGTGAGAAAATAAACAGGATTTGGCTCTGTCACATCTCCTTTCTAACTCAGAATGCAGATGAAACAGTATAAGCAAAGAGGACAAAATCTTACCTGTTTAGTATGGCTATTTTCACTTTTCTAGATGTTTGTCTGTTCTGTCCTCATCAGCATAGCGTGTTCAGAACATACATGCATAATATATGTCAAAACATACATATTCCTCTCAGTCGTCCCATGAGACTGGTCATAAATAATAAACAGGGAATTTTATAGATTGAAAACTGAATTGCCAAAACACAAAAACCTGAATCTTCTCAAAATGGTTCAGTGCACAATTTCCATTGACATAAATGGACTGCGTCTGCTGGATTTGGGCTTCCCATGCCCAAGGCAGTACAAGAAGTTATCAGGTAATGATTCAAGCTCTCTTGAGAGCCAGACTAACACCATGCACATCCTTTATTTTAACACTTTGTCCCACTGAAGGTAATAAAGCACATGATGTGAAAGCAAGCCAGGCTCTATAGCTAATGAAAGTGGCTAGGGGCTGTTGCCCTGGGCACGTAGCTGTAAATTTTTGGAAATGTTGATGTCAGGTTTGGTACCCCAAATTGGGTTCAGTGGATCCAAATGCCTCGTCTAGATTCCTAGATGTTCATGTGGTTATGCAGAACCTCTTTCACTAGCGACACCTTTTGCCATAAATTATAGCTTAATTGGCCGCTATGTTAATATTTCTGTCATGAAGTACTGTCTGTGGAGGATGTGAATATTTAATGCAGATCTTCAGAGGTGAAGATTTAATTACACAAGTGTTGCTTGTCTCCTCAGAAAAGCAATGTCCAACTGTCTCTCTCAATACAGGATGATATATGTAATTGAGAAGATCTGAGCCTAGGAGTAAAACTTGCTGCAGCCCTGACACTTGAGAAATAGGGCCAGCTTGTCAAACTCTCAGACAAAGAACAGTTGCTCAAAATACACCCAGGGAACCTGCATCTCTGCATGTTAATATCTGCCACAGTGTATGTGGTAGCCTAATTTACACCTAGAAGTCCCAGTAAATATTTGTACTGCATGCAGATAGTGAAGGTTACAGGAATTGATCTGAAAGAAGGCTTACAGAGCTGGCTCCTTGCCTTACTGATTTAGAGGAAAACTCCTGACAATTTGGCTGGTTTTATGTTACACTTCAAATGACAGAAAAGCAGAAATTAAAAGCGTTGGATATATTTTGGCCTTATTTTAAGGTAGTTTGATTTGGATTAAAATGTGATACTCGACATGGGATTACCTCTTAAAATGTCCTTGTTTGATTTCCCCTCATGGGAGGGGAGAAAAACAGACAGAAAGAAACAGTGATCAAGATGTAGGGATTTAAAAATCAGCTGGTGTGCTTAGTCCAATGTATTCCCTGATCTACCCACACATTCATTCTCTTGCTCACACACAGACAGAATTAATTCATCCCAAGATGCAATTGTGCATCTGTTTTATATATTTGACTAGTCACTTCAGAAATATTTTTAACTTGTGGGGAGCATTTACAAGTGTAAGAGCGGGAAAGGTGACAAATAAAGGTGAGAGTATACATTTGCCAGACAACAATAATGAGACATAATAACTATGGACAAAAATCCACTCTGTGATCCATCCTATATGTAATCCCCAGTAGAGATTCAGTGATTTCACCTGGAAAGTACAGAGAAGTTATAAGGAAATGCTGCCTGTTAATAGAAGACATAGGTAGGAGTCAAGTCATCTACATCCACATCTACAGTAGCACAAATTTCTACTGCTTGGTTTGAAGGCAGTCTCAAGCTGTTGGTTAAATCAGGCCAGCTGCTATTATCTGCTCATCCAAACCAGCACATGACAATATGAAGCAACAGATAGGAATGTACAAGGCAGGATAAAGTCTAAATAAAGGACCTTGTTGCCTTTCAGACAAACACCTTATTTCCTCAGATGAACTTTTTCCTTTATTCCTAACTAGTGAATTCTTATTCTTCCTACTAAAAATCTAAGATACTGTCCTTTCTCTGACAGCAATTGAATCTAGAACAAGTTTCCTGACTTAATTTGCCCTCACACAAATGCAAGATGAAGATCCGTATTTGTTCTGAGCCCCTGCTTCTTTCCAGGTTACTTAAACTGACAAGGATTTCTGTTTCCTTCTAATCTGAGGATCTGTACTGACAGGGCTGCAGATGAGGGAAGGAGGCTGGCCACAAAATGCTGAAAAGTTACCTACCTTTGGCTTCCTTCAATTCCTTTTCCTAGTCCCAAAGGAATAAATTCAGGAGGCCAAATGACTCAGGAAACAGCTGCTACACTAAATACTTCTTGGTGGGGACTGGTCCTGAGGTGGTGGGAAAGTTGAAATGGCTTGATAAATGTTAGTGAAATCGCCTTCGAGACCAGTTTAGCAGAGAGCTGCCATTCAGCTCCTGTGTCAGTAGCATAGAGGCAAGAAAGATCCCTCACAGTGCAGAGGCCAGGAGCTTTTAGCACTTGGTGTGTCAACCTAGCTTAGGGTCAATAAGCAGAATTTCAGTGCTTCACTGCGTTGGGACAGGGAAATATTTTTTTTCTCCTCCTGAAGGGTGACAGTCCATTTTGTGCAGGGTATCCAAGGGGTGCAGCGTCAGGAAAAGATGTCTACAATCACTCATTTAAGAACTGTGGACTTAAAGCAGGATTTAAAGCATGTTGTAGTCTCTGAGATTGCTTTCTGGTACTGCTTCAGGAGCAAGGCTGCATCCCAACACATGGAACATGTGCGTCCATTACAAGGGAAGAAAATCTGATTGCATTAGAGGCTTGATCTACTTTGTCTCTTATGTCCAGAGACCTTGGCTAGTGCAAGTGCAAAGATTGGACTGAAAAAGGCAATAAAAAGCTTTGATTCAGCATACTTATATCAGATCTCACCAACTATGACTAATTTATTCTCTAGTTACCAGGGTTTTGGGAGAAATAAGATTTATTCTTTGCTCTTTGCTTTACTTGGTATAGATAACACAATTTAGGAGGATCATCATCACTTTTATTTCCCGTTTTAGGAAAGTGGAATAGACCTAATGTTTGCAGAGCAAGAGGGCTCGCCACTTTGCAGAGTGTTGCAGGCAAGACCGACCTCTGCAGGACAAAATGAAACAAGTCGAAGGAAAACTATTCTGGATGGATCTGTGGCTGGTAGCGGTAGCAACAACAGGAAAGTTTTCTCCCATTTTTTGGAGAAAGTCGTTCCTCTTTTCCTATTTTCATCAGTCAAACTCTCAGTGTATGTTTACAGAAAGAGGCAGGTGAAATTTCTGTGAGCTCTGGCCTCCTCAAATAGGGGTTTCCTTTGCTCCCACTGATGCACAGAACGGTTGTGAAGGCTAATTAACTCTTGCCACTGGTTTTATTCAGGTGAAAAGCTGCTGCAGAATGGCTCTCAGGCCCAAGGAAAGACCATGCTTTGCTATGAATTTGAAACTCAGCCCCCTAGAACCAAACCTGAGATGGAGGATAGTGTGTATGTGGCAGATTGGGAGTTGTTCTCCTACATGCTGAAATTTAGTATGTTTGCTTTTTTATTGTGGATTTGGTTTGGGGTTTTGATGTTTTTTCTTTTTTTTTTTTTTTTTTTTTTTTTTTTTTTTTTTTTTTTTTGTTGTTGTTTTTTTTTTTTTTTTGTTTGTTTTTGTGTGTGTGTGTGTGTTGGTTGGGGACTTTTTTGTTTTGTTTTGGGTTTTCTTAAGGGTTCTGGATCAAAAAGTTGCCTTGACTGTTTTAATGGCTGTTCTGGTTCTTTTCCTTCTAATTACTTGTCAGTGCCAGAGTGAGTTGTTCTTGTACAGTCAGCACTGCAGATTCTTTGGAGACCCCCAAACAGCTGAATAAAAGCTAGTAAATCTAGCAAGTTGCTCAGTGAGCAGTGGAATTGTGAGGTCAGGCTTCCTGTGCCTGACCAGTGTGGATGCTTTGGTGTCTAATAACATCAGTGTCTCTGAAGTGGTTGCACATATGGATTCTGTGATGGCTGATAAGAGGTGAGCTCACACTTTGTTTTTTCTCCTCTAAGGAGTTTCTGACTTCAACCTTTCCCCTTTTCTGATGTCTATGTAAAAAGCGGGAACTTGATGTATTTGAGTCCTCAGCCCTGCTGTATCGTTTGATTGAGATTTCCAGACAGATTTAAGAGCTCTACAGGGAGATGGAGGCAATAGCAGAGACTGATGAATGCATGTGCAAGCACACACATGCAGAACATAGTTTGGTGACCACTGAAAAAAGCTGGCCACTGAAAAATGCAGTGCTTCTTTCCCTCTGTGTTCACTTCAGGCTGCCTGTTGTTCCGCTCTGTGTGTTCTTGGCACAGTCATTTACACAGCTGGGTAGTGAACTGATCACACTTAATGTGTGAATGATTGGGTTTGGATATTAGGTTTGGGCTAATAAGACTGCATGGCTCATCTGTTTTGAGCCAGCACCATTCCCTCATCTGATTTGCTTCAAGGCTGCGCAAACATGTCCTGCAGAGGCAGAAGCGGGCAGCCAGAAGGAGTGGGGTTGGGGGGTGTGCAAGTATT